ATTAAATAAGAATAGATTAAACTTATTAATTGTAATAAAAATGTATCTTTATTGAAAAATTCAACCAAAACATAGTATAGATATTAATTGTTATAAATTACTAGATAAAACGTGATAGACTAAAATAAGAATTTTTACTATTAGAAACATCAAGAGGCATATGAGTTTTATATTGTTTGACCTCATAGAACTGAAGTAATAGAGTGTTTCTCAAAAGAATTGATTGCTTAATTGATATATTAAGCGCACTAGTTTTTCGCCGGCTAAGTTAAGAATTTCAGTTGAAAAGGTTCCAAGTATGAGTAAACGTTTTTGTCTTTATTTCATGAAGATAATGAAATATATGAGTAAACAGAAGTTGCCGTCGTAATGAATATCATACTGAACTTGGTTTCTCATATCTGAATTTTGAATTATACTTTTCCATATCATATCAATCGAATAATCTTTTTTTTTTTTTAGATATTTTTATATTTCTAACATTTTGTCGATTGATTAATACACAACTATTGAATCGTTGTGTTTTGTACTTCATTATCCAATACACTTCATTTAGAAAAAAAAAAAAGACAAAATATATCACACCATGCAGTATATCAACTTCCTCGTGTGTTTCAAATCGGACGAAAAACTGCTGATATACCGACAATCAATCTGTGGTAGTATGAACTAAATGTACGACATGAATTAATAGTTTATGAAGAAACCTTATTGAATATATGCACCTGTTGTTTTCTAAAATAGACAATATTTTGTTCGACTAATTTTGGACATTTCGAACAAAATAATTTTGCTTTTAGTTCATAGAGAATTTCTTTTCTTATTTTATCAAACAGTGAACCATAGTATTTAACGATGTTCTATTACATTTTCTTGGTAACAATGTCTCATACATAATAATCTAAAACATTGAGATTATCACTGTTTAGTGATCATGTATTATTGTTTATAAAATGTAAAAAATTCTCTTCACACAATTCCAATGATTCTATATATGTATGTTGCGTGCTGTTGTCTTGTTAACATAGTCGTCTAATGCCCGTTTACCTTTAGATTGCGCATATGAAGGAACAAATATAATAACTTTTATGCAAAAAAAAAAAAGAATGTTTCATCGGATTAAAATATAATTGAAGATGTAAGACCGTTTTTAGAAGCATTTAACCATATCATAATTCTCTTAAGATATTTAGTCTTTTACTTTATGCTCCGTTGTTCGATTATTTCCTGTCGACTAGTCACATAAACACATTCAAATGAAAAGAATTTTTCTCCTTTGTTAGTGAATTCAATTTTCTTGAATCGATGACATTTAAAAAAAAAAAAAGGTGAATTGATCGTTTTAAACAAAAATATATTAACTCTGTTCGCATAAAAATTTTCAAAACAAAAGATACATATAATTGATAATTTTTTCTTTGTAAACTGTTAACTCATGTTGCACGTTTTATTCTTAATACCACCGATATTATCGGTCGGAAAACAATTATTACTACATAGCCCTAGAATAGCGATTCGATAATAGACGACGATTTTAGTCTGGTTTGGATCATATAAAGACCTTTTCATGCTACATCTTGTGATATATTTTTGTTAATAATTTCCATTTGTTATATATTAATATTTATTCGATCATCAAATATATTATTGAAAAGTTCGAAGCAACTGGAAATTTAATAATTACATTAATTGTTTTGTCTTTTTATCGTATGTTTATTCTTGTATATGTATATGTATATATCTGTCATATTCGTTGTCCTTCGAGAAACAAAAAAAAAAAAAAGGAAAAGAAAAGAGAACTTTTTCTACTATGAGTAGATGATGATGATGATGATGATGATGTATTTTGCTTTCTTTGTTTCAGATTGGTTATGACAAACATCGTCGTCGATTTTTCTTCTTTCCATTGCTATGCTTTCAATCGATCACTTGCTTTGCCTCTCGCCTGCCGGTTTTCTTATCTTAACGATACTGCCGTGTGTTTGACACTCGTGCGCATGCTAGATGCCGAATGTCGCTTATATATTCCCTTTTTTTTTCCTCTTTATACATCTATATATAGATAGATAGATAGACAGATTTATATGTGTATATTTCTAAGAATCATCATCTACCGGTCTCGATGACAAATCAACGAATAATCTAGAAACCACATATCTTTCTTCTTCTTGTTGTATGCATATATTGCTTGTTGTTTGTTAGTTAGTCAATCCGTTCATTGAATGTAAATAAGATTGGGTAGGTTAGAATGAACAACGTGAATGAATATTTGACATTTTCATCATCTTGTCATCTACCATTCATGTCTCTTTTTTTCTCTTGTTCGATCTATCTTGATGAACATTTATTTATGTATATATCAATTTTGACATCATCAACTGTCATTAGAAAAGGTAAACAAATAGAATACAAAAAGAAAAACGAAAAAGAACTTATTATATATTGATAATTCTCATTTTAGATTAAATCGTCTGTTATTATTTAGCTCTTTATGTCACAATCATTTCTCATGTCTTATAATTTTTGTGTATATGCGTGCGTGCGTCGTCCAAAAAGCAATGTAAACGGGTGGTAGTTGTAGTAATAGCGGTAGGATAGTAGAGAAAAAAAATGGAGCAAGAAGAAATGAATAGTGTGTATATGTTGTCGTCCTCGTCTATAATATGATCGCAGCATATCTCCACTGACATACACAAACATGCGCGAAAGGTTATTGTTTTCACATCTTCCCCCGACGACGACAACTACAGCCAATTCAAGAAAAAAAAGTGGATGTATACATTTATATATATATATATATATATATAAATGCATGTGTGTATTATCTTTCATCATACTGTTTATAAAAACTAAGGAGAACGCTAGGTGACCATTATTGAAATCGTTAACGAATGAAAAGTGTTACTATTGACCGGGGCTTGAATAAGTAAGCGGTCAATCAACAGGCAATTACTCAGATGACTGTTGTTTTATTCAGACGAGAAAAAGAAAGAGAGAGAGAAAAGAGGGACGATTTCAGATTCAGCTCGACAAATCATCAACATCATCAACGACAGCAGCATCTTCCTTTCTCCCTCTCTCTCTCTCTCTCTTTTGCTTCACAATGGTAGGGTGTGCCAATGCTCTTTTTTCTCTTTTTCTTAGTCTATCTGCCTGTCTGATTGTTGTTGTGTGTTACTACACGAAAGATGTGGTGTGTCTCTCCATAAAAGATATAAATCTGCTTATAAGAGAAACAGGGCAGACAACGACGATGTATGTGTATGTAAACGCGTGTCGATGAGAGGGAGCAGAAAAGGAGGGTACAATGACGCAGAAGCAACGAACGGTTTTGTTTAAATGCGAAAACCTAAAATTCAGAACAGCTACGCAAATGAAAGGGAGTGAGAGAGAGAGAGAGAGAGAGAGAGCAAAAAAGTTATGTGCTCGCCTTTTCTTAATATGTATGTGTGCTGTCATTCATTCTCTTCTTGTTCTTCTTCTTCTTCAATGCCGTGGTACGACTATACACCGGCATGACACAAACGGTATGTACACGGAAAATTACTATTATTGCTCGTGACTTGTATGTTGATGATGTTGCTCGTTGCTTGACTGTCAAGTAATGAAAATAGGTAAAAAGTAAAAGAAAAGAGAATTTCATTGAGTACTCTATTGATGTTCGACAAGCCACGTGTACTTATATAAAGTGTATGTGTACGTTTAACAAAAGAAAAAAAAAAGAAACTAAGCAATGAAAAATGTGCAAGTAATCGAGATATATATATATACAATAGATGTGCTGCTTGTTCGTCAATTTGTCTGCTTCATTCACATACATATAAGTACAATGCACACGTCAACATCAAAACGCAAATAGATGAAGAAAAAATATATATAGAAACAATTCGTTTGCTCTCTCTCTCTCTTTTCTCAATAGTTTGTCTGCTTTCTTACATTCATTCATTCTTTGTCTTACTCTTGCGATTAGAAGTCAGTACTTCTACTATTACTACGACTAGCATCACACACACATACACACATACACTATTCAACATGATCATTATCATCAGTTAGACAAGCAGCGAACGAGACTAGCGTGCAAGCGCGTTTTTGTTTCGCAAGAAAAAGGGGAATTGCCCTTCTTGACGTTGACGTTGTCGTCGTCTCTTCTGCTATTGAGCATTTTACTTGTTCTTGTCTCTGTGTTGTGTGTGTGTGGCGGGCAGATACTGTTTCCGGTTAATTGCGGCGGTCGTCGTCGATTTTTTCCTTCTTCTTTTCACGCACACTCACACATGCCGCTCATTTTCTTTTTCCCTTATTTTATTGCCAAAAAAACAAGAAGAAGAATAACGAGAAATATTTTTATTCTTTATTTATGTGTACGTATTAATTTTAATACTTTCTAGATTTTTTTTCTGTTTCTTATGTCATAACTCATCTTTTCCCTTTTTTTTTACTTCAATCTTATTTGTTGCATACCTTTTCTTTCTTCTAATAAAAAACGTTTTTCTATTTCCTTTCTTCTTTTTTTTTTGTTTTACACACGCAAACTAACTCAACTCTCCATCAAATGTCATCACATTTATAAGAAAGAAACTTTAGTTAGGGATTCTAGAAGAAAATCAACATACACATACACTCAGGCAACAAAATCAAATTAAGAGACATACACACAGTTTATATGAATGTATGCATGCATGTATAGAGAAGAAAAGTGTCAATAATGGATGTTGAACGTCGACGAACGTACAACGACGGCAAGCGGGCACAACCTTGTATGAGTGTTCGTTGTTCTCTCTCTCTCTTTATCCTTCTCATGCCACTATTACTGACCGATGAGAGTGAGAGAGAGAGAGAATAATGTATATGCTGTTTTATTTCTAGATGTGATGTTCACACGACGAATGCTGTATGCAGCAACAAAAAACGAAGAAAGATTCATCTTTCATTCCCGGTGGTCGTGTGTATTGTATGTGCACTTCTTGTTCATTCATTGATCAGCAATAACAACGACCATGAGTAACAATAATAAAGAAACTATGACAAAAAAACAACAAGATGACCTTACTTCAACATTTAATAGTAAAGAAAAAAAAAAAATTTTTTTTTGCTTTTTAATTAGAAGTTATTTGTCTATCAATAAAAAAACAAAAACAAAACTTATTGTTTAGATCTTCCCTGGGGACTCCCATTGGGTTTTCCATCATTATCACCATTTGGTGCATTTCCAACATTTGGTTTACCAACACCAAATTTTCCTCCATTGAACAGTTTTGCATCATCACCAACAACTGCTTTTCCTCCTCCACCTTCGCTTCTATCCAATGATTCAACAAATCCATCGACATCAACTGATGTATGGTCAAATGGTTTATCGACGACAAATAGTTCTATTGATTATAATGAATATGCTAAACAATTAGGTTTTCTTATGAATGCATTTACTGAACAACAACAACAACAGCAACAACAAGAAATAGATAAAACAAAAGGTACAAAAAGGTTTTGTCTTTTTTTGAAAGAAAAAAAAATTTTGTGTTTTCCTTTTAAAGCTTCACCAACAATAAAACATTCAAAATCTAAACAATCTCATACACATTCACCTGATGTTATTAATGGTAAAAGACATGATGATTCACGTCGATCATCATCATCAACAAAATCTTCATCACGTTCAAAATCATCATTAAATCCAACGTCTAATCTATCATCTTCAAGCAAAACATCTACAACAACCGATCCAACTATGCTTGATCCATTAGCATTTGCTGCTGCAGCAGCTGCTGCAAGTGGTGGTCTAACATTTCCTTATTTTCTTCCATCATTACTTTCACAAACATCTTCAACAACTAATAATAATAATAATCCTTCAGCATATCCATTTTCAAGTTTACCAACATCATTAACAAATCCAACGGCTGGACTTTATCCATTTTTATCACCTGATTGGTTTACATCAGCAACAACAGCATCATCATCATCACCTTCTATGGGAAATGTAACTCCTGGTAAATAAAATAACATAGATAGAAAAACAAAGATTATATCTAACATTTATGTTTGTTTGTTTTTAAGATTTAAAACATTCAAAAAAACGTTCGAAATCAATTCGAACATTAACTGAAGAACAAGATAAAAATTCCTCAAGTCTTCTTCATTTAGCATTAGTAAGTTTTAAGCCTTTTGTTTAACTATAATAGTAGAGAAAAATTCTCTACTTTCATCGTATCTCGGTCACTATACCTGCTGAAGGTGTTCTGAATATGTGCATACTCTCCTAAACAACGTTTTCAACTCAACAATCGATTTTGATTTCGAACTCAGTGCGGAAGGTAAAGTGTAGTAAGATATCAGACGAAACTATTTGTCAGTAGAATACTGAAAATTTCAGCTAAAAAAGTCACTCGTATTCGACGAAAGTTACTTGCGTTTTTTGAGTTTAATGGCTTGCGAAGGAAATATTCTTTTATGCTGAAATTTTCAAGACATTCTATCGACAAAAAGACTTGTCTGTAAAAAAAAAATCTCAGGTTAAAATACCGTCATTCAATTTGTTGGTATATACCATGCCTGAAGCTAGAACTCAAGTAAAATGCCTATAACTCTGGAGAGAAAGCCTAAGAAGACTTGTCCTTTTGAGATTTTTCATATTTCACTAGACTTTATCATATGGATTGAGTGCAAACTCAAAAGCGATTGATCAATTAAAAATATTCTCTTGTAAACGTGTACGTCTGAGACACCGAACGTGTCTTATTTGTTTGAATGCAACGAGAATTATGATGGATGATAATGAATCATCTTTATTATTTTTGATTTCATAACTCGGGAAAAAAAGAACTTTGTGAATGGGTCTCTTCTTCATTATTTAGTTCTGTGTTCGAATTATGTACTATATTAATTTTATCGATGTTCATAAAATCCTTCCTAGAATTGTATTCCTTTTTCTATGATCATTCGGATAGGGAAAACCTAGCTGCTAGCCATTTGGATACAATAAATCAATAATAGCTCAGTGAATTGAGCAGAATCTTATTCATTGATTGAAAATATGATTAGAATACCGAGAATTCAAAGGCATGCAGATACAACAATCTTTGATTAGATTATCTGATCTTTTGACTAAAAAAAAAAGTGCATAAACATAGTCACGTACTTGATAACAGGTAACGAAAAATTTAGTTGACAATCGTTTTCAGGCGAAAACTTTGAAAGAAACATAAGCGTCCTTCATCAGCACTTCACATCTTCGGCATGTATAGTAGCAGAGATACGAAAGATGGAAGATTTTTGATCGACTATTGTAAATAAAACATTTTATTTAGTCTGATCCAACAAATACGAATGGTTCACGTATGAGTCGTCGTAATAGTACAAATGATACAGGTGTTGATGATTCACGATCAAATGATGATGGTAGAATAAAAGCTAATATACATTTTTCTGTTAATTTGAAAGAAAAAATTCTTTTAGATGATTCCGATCCAAATCCAAAACGTAAAAAACCAGATGAAGTTAATGAAACACTTGTACGAATACCATTAAATCGGGGGTATGTACGATTTTTTTGAAATTCTTTACTCGATAAATATTTCTACTTTTGTATCTTAGATGGAAACGTGTGACAATTATTCGAGCAATAACTCGAACTGGTGTACGTGGTGATGTTTCATATTATGCCCCATGTGGAAGAAAATTACGTTCATTTCAAGAAATTGATCGAGTAAAAAGAAAAAAAAGAAGAATTTTTGTTTTCTAATTTTTAAAAATTTTCCTTTTTTTTTTGTTGTTTAGTATTTATCGAAAAAGAATATAACAGATTTAGATCGATCACATTTTACATTTAGTTCAAAAGTTCATATTGGATTTTTTCATGAACCAAAAGAAGGTCCAGATGGAAAGGTAAATAGAAAGTTTTATAAGTTATATGTTTCTTTTTTTTCTTTTCACTTTCTAGACTATATTTCATGAATCAACTGAAGATGAAATTGTTAATCGTATATTAGAAATAAATCCTAAATTTCGTCGAATTGAAACAAGTTCAAGTCCTTCTTTAACGCCAAGTAATGGCACCAATGATCATCATGATGATCATAGAAAAATTCGTTTAGAGCAAGAAGGTTTGGATATTTTTTTTTTGCTATTACTAAAAACAAATTCTATTTGACTTTATAATAGAAATATCTAAACGAGCAGCTGAAATAAAAACAAAACGTGAAGCTATGCGTTTAACACGTAATATACCAAATGAAAGTACAAAACCACCTGAAACACAATATCAACATAATGATTTTATAAAAGCAATTATTGAACAACAAAAATTAGTTCAACAACAAGAACTTGAACATAAACAAAAATTACAACAAGAACAACAAGTATGTCTTATGTATTTCAAAATTAATGTTTTTCATCTATTCATATATAAAGTCTTTGTCCTTGGTTTTTATGACAGAAGCTAAATAGCATATCGAGATTGATCACTTGGCATTTTTATTAATATATTGCCATGGATTATTGAAGTGTAAAATTGCGAAATAAATGACTCGAAAATATCTAGAAAATCTTATATAGTTTCTTTACTCTTATGTATAATTCTTTTCTATTTAAAGATATCATCGGTATTGTCTCATGAGTTACTTTTTAACATGATGAACAAAACTTTCTGATAAAATGCCTTGAGAAAGATGAATTTTACTGATGAAAATTGAGTATGATCATTGAGTAATGAGGAAGTTTTTCCAGGTGTAATGCCATTTTCTATTCAAGATCATTGTTAGTTGATAGATGTCCATGAGTTATTGAGAAGTTTTTATCAACCTTAGTTTATGAAATATTCTACACTGAGATATTGAATTTTTTTAGTAAATTAACTCTGCAGGATTGCAGTTAGTCAAGAAAGATCATTTTTTGAATGTGGACACTTCGCCTACATAAAAATTTTAATTAAAATAACCGGATTTTTTATATTTTTCATTGCAGCTAATTGAGTCAATCTCTTTAAATGAGTAATAACTACATAGAAAATCCATGACGAATTGGAGTTTAGATAGATATTTTAATATGAATAAAACATTGATTTGTATTTTAGGAACAAGAACGTAAACGTCAAGAACTTGCATATTTAAAACAACTTGAATTAAAAAAGCGTCAAGAAGAAAAACTTCTATTAATCGAACAACGTAAAGCAGAAAAGAATGCACAACGTGAAAAGAAAATTGTATGTGTTTTTATTTTCTTTGATCTTTATTATTTATTTATTTTTTTGTTTATAGCAAGAAAAATATATGGAAATAGTCCTTGCGAAAGAAATGAAACGAATTACTGAAGATATGCAATTACGAGATCTGAAGGTGAAGTGTTGTCAATTTGTAAACTTCAGTGAAGCACTTTTTTTTTTCCATTATTCATAATTGGATAAAGTTTGTTGAGTTACTTCTAAAAGTGTTGCATTCGTCCGTGAGAAAATTGATTTTTGTTGATGTGTTAGCAAAACATCATAAATACGAGTTTTCATTTACCGATCTTCACTGCAAAGGTATAATAAACATTATCGTAAACAATCGGATACTCAACTATCTGACGGTTTATTGACTGTGTTCAGTAGAACAATCTACACTGACTTAAAAACAAGTTTTCATTCAATTTCGGTCCGTAGTTTTTGGAGAATTTGATTCGTGGTTATCATAAGATCGAAAATTAATATTTTAATAGCGATTATCGTATTCAATGTAGTGTTTTATACTCGCAGTATTTGTTTGATAGCAACGAAAAATGTTTTAGTATATTAGCAGTAGTGATAACAAACGTATCATATGAAGTCTATATAACCATTTGAAAGAAAGTTTTATTTTTTTTTTAATTTTTCTTTAGCCGCTTCCAATATTAAAACCAATTGAAAATATGCGTTTATCAATTGAAGCATTTGCCAATTGTTTAATGATTATTGAATTTCTTAATAATTTTAAACATATTCTTAATATTCGTATGTTGATTTTAATAATAAGAAAAAATTAAAAAAAAAAAAACATGAATATGTTTGTTTTCTTTAGCTGATAATTTAATTCCAACATTAAATAGTTTACAACAATCATTATTAAATTATTCATCATCAAGAGATTTAAATTCACTTTGTCAAATATTACTTCGTATTGCATTAGAAGATCCTGGCATTCCAAATCCTAAAAAAGCTTTAACTAATCTTGGACAAAAATTGTCTGAAATTGATATAACTGAACATACATTTAGTGAAATTTTACGTATATATATACGAGAACGTAATGGTTTTGATGATAAATTAAGTCAAAGTTTATCTGATGTATCATTTCAAGTATTAATATCTGATGAGAAAGCTGAAGTTTTAGCTTTTCTATGTAATGATTTATCAACAAATAAACGAGTTGTTGAGTAAGAGACGATTTTTATGTGTGAATTTTAAAGATAAAAATTTAATTCTTTCTAGTGAAATTGATCGTAATCTTGAAGAATTAATTAGTTTAAAACATGAAAAATGGGAAATTGAAAAACGTTTACGTCGGTTAAAATTTGAAAAATATAATAATACAAATAGTAATTCGAATGTAAAAAAAATGGCAACATTATTACGAGAAAAAGATTTGAACAGTTCAGACAATGAAAGTCCAGATGATAGTGATGGTGGTATGTTAATATTTATTTATTTTTTTGAATAGAAACGAAAAAAAAAAAACAACTTCTTCTTTTCTCATTAAAGAATCTATGAAAAATGATGATGAAACATCAATAACAAATGATCCAGCAACAATAACAGCTGATGATCAAGATATTGAAACACTTGATGAAACAAAAATTGACGATATTGATAAACGTTTAGCACTTGTTACAAGAAAATATATTCTTATTAAACGTCGTGTTATTGATAAACAATGTCGTATACGTGCATTACATCTTGGACAAGATCGTTACCGTCGTCGTTATTGGTATTTTTCACATTTACCTGGAATTTATATTGAAGGTTTAGTATCAGGTGATATATCATCAGATGATATACAAAATATTATTGAAAATGTAACCAAACAAAAACATGATAATAAACCATCAATTAATAATAATGAATGTAATTCATCATCACGTTCTACACAACGTAAAAAACAACAAACACGAACACCAAATGTAACATCACCACCACCGCCATCATCATCATCATCACAACAACTACAACCACCATCATCATCATCATCAACAAGAAATTCTACTATAGAACAATCACCTATGATTGAATTAAATAAAATAAAAAATGAAAATAGTGATAATGAAGATGAACAACAACAAATAAATACAACGAATAATATTACAGAAGATCTTGCTACTATGGATCTATCTGCTTTTTGTATGGCTGCTAAAAGAGATAATGATGTACAACAAATTGTAATAGTCAATGAAGAAAAACCTATTACAAATGGGTATGTTTCTTTTTATATTTTGAATATTACAATAAAAACTTTTCTATATCAGTATCTACGTCTTCTACTAAACAGTCTATCAGGCCATTGAAAACAATTTTGCTAGAAATGAATCTCTCGAATATAAGCACGTCCTTATTGTTAGTTGTAGGCGTTTATTTCTAGTCTCATGAGTAATAACAGCTTTTTTAATAAAAGCAACATATGTCCTGTCACTTATGTATATAGAACGAGAAAACAATAATCTTATGTCTATTGTGTTGTGATAAACAATCATGAAACATATATAAAACGTTGATAGACTAACTACGCATATTTTAAAAGAAAAAGGAAACAATACTAGACAATGACCAACTGTACTAGCCATGATTAGTAGTATCGAATCATGTTAATATGTGTTGATTTATCTCCTATTAGTTAATTCTTGGATAAAGGAAAAATGATCATCTTTTGCAACCGATAAATAATTGTAAAAAACAAACTAATAAATTTCTTAGTAATGCGCGCTTTTAGCTGGTGTTCTCATCAAAGAACTTGTACTGTATTATCGTTTTTCAGTGACTTCCATTACCGTTTTATTAAAACTTTCTCTTCCGGAAGGGAGAAAACCTATTTTAGAGAATACAGACATATAATATGTAGTACTATAATCACAAACTTAGCAAAAAAGGCTATCTAATCTTCAGAAAAGTACTTCTTACACATTACATAAAACATTGATTTATATTGAATAATACGATTTCGATAATCAAAGATAACTACAAGTTTTTCAGTGATTGTTGACTACGGAACGGCATATACATATCGATTTGTAGAGAAAAACTTCCTCTATAAACCTCCATATATCTTATTCTGTAATCAAAAACTCGGAGTCACCTTTTGAAATTTTATAAAAATAATAATTTACTAAAAAATTCTTTTAATTTTTAGAACATCGAAGGATGTTGAAATAAAACATGAACTGAGTGATGAAGTAAATCCCAAACGTATTGTTAATGAATTTAACGATGATAATCTTCCACTTGATCTTTCATGTTCAAAATCGAAACGTACATGTCAAGATGATTATTGGACATCACAACATACACAAGCTGTTTATCCATTAACATCTTCTATCGATCAATTTCAAGAATTAAATGATCTAGCTACAACAGCTATGTTAATAAATAATATTAAACAAGAACAAACAAATACAAATCTATCAAAAAATATTCTAGATTTAACAAATGTTAATTTACAAAATATTATTTCGAATCAATATATGTCAACATTTAATTTATCAACGCCAATTAAACAAGAATCATCAACGACTAATTTTAAACAAATTGAACAATCAATTAGAGAGAAATTTCAATATTCACAACCATTACCTATTCCTGATGGTAAATATTTCTAAAAACAATTCTTAAGAATTATTATTAGCGAAGTTTATTTTTGGATCTTGTGAGAGAAGTTTCCTGACTGGTTGCTTGCTTGAGTCGTGATTAAGTGCATTCTATAGGCCGTAATGAGCTATGAATATCCTGAAAAGATTTCAGATCTTTTTCTTACTACTGTCAAGATAATGTATTTTTATTATAATTATAAATAGAATTTCGTAGTTGGCCTTATAAAATCAAATGCGAAGTCTGTGAGTTTAGTTTGATAGACTAGGATTTGTTTAATGTTTTCTTTAGACGTTTTTTCTTCAAGAAAAGGTTAACAATTGTTTCGGAATGACAATTATGGGTATAGTCGATTTCTATGGGAAGCTATATTTGACACAGTGTGGGAACAGTACTGTTGTGAATATCGAGTTGGTAGTTATTTTATCTCATACTAGGTATCTATGCTTCGAAAATTAGATATTCATTGTCCCAGAGTTTTAAATTTCCCCTCTGAAAGAGAAAACCTAAGTCATGAAATGTTTTTCACATCATTCTAAAGTCGATTTAGGTTATAAATTTGATGAAAACATTTCCAATAGGTTGTCGATTGTCTGCTCTTTATTTGCATTGCATTTTATAGATTTTTAGTTTTTCTTTTCTTTTTTGTTTGGTTATTTCATTCCTAATGATTAATTGATACAGAGTTAATACTCTGTACCAACTATATAAAAATTAATATTTCTTTCTTATTTAGATGTTCAGTCAGGTTGGTGGTTAATTCAAACATCTGACGAATTGCGTACTCTAATAAAATCATTAGCTAAACGTGGTCAACGTGAACGATATTTATGTCGAATGCTTCAACGTTATTTTGATGTTATAACAAATTCAATGTTAAATATAAAAATAGAAAATTCGTTATTATCAATAGAAAATGAAAATGAAAATGAAAATGAGAATGATGAACAACAACAACAACAACAAACATCAAATGATTTTATTGAAAATGATAATCAAAATTTTGATGATACACATGAAATGGATGTATTAAATGAAATATATAATTTAGCTGACCGTATAATAGCATCAAGTTTACAATGTCGTTCATATGATATAAATACAAGTCGTAAACGTTTAACATATTCTGATATACAAGCTAAAGGCTCTGATATTCTCGATGAAGCTAAACATTTATTAACTGATATTGAACGTAATATTGAACGACGTTATTTAAAATATCCATTTGCACGTAAATATGAACTTAATTTATCATCATTAAATCGTATTAATCAACATAGTACATATCATCATACATTAGAAAATTCAACAAATGAAATTGTTTCATCATCAAAATATGATGAAGCACCACAACAACTTGAACGTTGGAGACGTACTATTAATGAATCACGTACACCAGCACAATTAGCATTATGTTTAACACAATTAGAACGTTGTATTGCATGGGAACGATCAATAATGAGAGTTTACTGTGAAATATGTAATTCAGATGTTGATGAAGAAAAATTATTATTATGTGATGGTTGTGATCGTGGTACACATACATATTGTTTTATGCCACCTATGTCATTTATACCACCAAATGATTGGTAAAATAAGAAAAATAAAATTTTATTTTATAGAAACAAAAAAAAAAAAACTTTGTTTTTGTTTTAGGTATTGTTATGTTTGTATTGGTAAAGCAAAAGGGGAAAATTTATGTTTTGTTTGTGGTAATAAAGGTGATAATCAATTAAATCGATGTGAACATTGTGGAAAATTATTTCATGAAGAATGTTTAAAAAATGCTAAACAACAACGTGGAAAATGGTTATGTGTATTATGTGCAGCTAATGATAGTAGTGCATTAATAGCAACATTAAGTGCTGGAAATAATAATACGAAATGGGTAAGTTTGATTTTTATTTTATGAATAAAAAAAAACCCAATGAATGAGATCTGCAATTATTTGAAAAAAAAATGCGACTTTACATAAGGGAAATATGGATAGACTTGACTTTGAATGATAAAATGCTTGCCTCAGAATTAAAGAAGGTAAGAGTGTAACGAAGTGTTTGTCGGGTTAATCGCTCAATAACTCGACAGTGGCAATAACTAACAATCTGTGGTTTTCAGCGATCGAAAGAGGAAAACTCTGGACCTGTTTTTATATGGTGTCACGTAAGAAAGAGCTTATTTTAAAACTCATCATTATGATAAAACATTCAACGGTGTTTCATTTTAGAGAAATTTGCAAATAATCAACAGAATTTTGAATAGTTTCATCGATTAGATAAGGCATTTTCGATTTTCATCCATATCTTTTGAATATTTTATGAAGATGATGGATTTTAAAATAACTTTAGTCTTATATAATATCCAATAAAAAAATGTCTAAAATTTTCCTTTTTCGATTACGGGAAAATTTAGGTCGCTCGCTATTGCCGTTATTGAGACTACACAAATTCTGACCCCGGCATTAGTCAATAAATACCTAAGTTCGGATTTCATTTGAAGTTAACTTCATATGATAAACATTTTAAGGATTTGAATCTTGACGAAAAACAAAAGCCTTTCGATCAGATCTTAGAAATTCGTGAACTCATCCAAGACACTTCTTTTTTCATGCAGCTCTAAGAACTAAATACTCTACAAGCACGGTTTCTTATTATTGACTTTGTTTCTTGTAGCAAATGGGTCGTCAAACATTTCGTTCAACGAATACATCAGCTAATGCAACAAATAATTCAACATCAAAATCTCGTCAACCCTCGATTAGTTCAACTAGTTCAGTAACGAATACAAATGGAGAATCAACAAATAATTCTTCTTTATCTAATCGTAATCGTTCGAATAGTAATCGTAAATCAAAACCTCGTAATAGTTCAACTAATACGGAAATTTCAATTTTACAAGAATCACATTCAAATTCATCTCATACAGATGCAATAACAATGAGTAGTCTTAATGAATCATCATCGATTCAATCACCATCTAATACTGCTGATATTGATGATGATATTCCTTCTCCAACAATGGGTGGTACAACTAATACAATGAATAATTCAAAGAAAAAACCTTCTCGTAAATCGAAATCAAATACAGATAATAACGATATAAAAGCGTGCAGGTAAAACAAACTATTCGAGCATTCCCTCCAGAAATAATATGTGAAACACGATTGATCTGTATACATTAGAAAGCAAAACATTCTGTAATATAAACTTCAGCTAAAGATTTTCAACCTACTGAAATGTTATTCGTAATATCATGTTACAATGAGTTTGAACAGGGAGATTAAAGATAGGTGTATCTTAAATTCAATCTTCTTTCATGAGAAGATAGCAGCAGGCTATGATCGGTATGAGCGTTGCTACATGGCTAACGAAGAAATCTCTTTAGATGCTTCCTTTTGATTTCAATGATTTTTTTTACCAATAGGTACGTCATGGTGTTCTAATAAAAACTCTACAAAGGATTTAGGTTTCTAGTGATATTTGACGAAGATATCGAATTTTGATATGAAACTTTCTGGATATAGAAAACTCGAATAGATTAGCTTCCATAAAAAATTCACAAGTTTTGAACAATGTCTCTTTGAGATATGAAGCTTTCTTCAAAATTCATCCTGTCTACATTATCCATGAAAAGTGATCTATATCTTAAAATTCTCATATTTCGCCGTGACTTTCTTCAAAATTCCTCAGTTTTTTCTATATAAGCTAATCTAATCTAGTTGAGGCTTCTATACGGCAAAGTTTCAGATTAAAAATCGATACATTAGTCAAACCCCCATAGGAACCCAAATTCGTTTGAGGTTTTCATTAGAACACTATGTAGTATCTATAGGTAAGGCAAATCATTGGAATCGGAATCAGTACTAAAGCTTGTCAGATCCAAAAGTTTCAGATTTGAACTTGACTGGGTCTGAAATGAATCCAGCAGGCTACTCTAAGCAGCAGCCACAAAATGATCTGGACCCGTCCCTAACAGCTGTTCGACTCGAATCATCCTTCTCATAACATACTGTCTCGCCTATTATATTCATCTACTCTTGTGATTCGTTAGTACGTATGGAGAGCTGAAGCAAGTGCTATTAAGTCTGCTGCTAAGTAATCCAAAGGCATAAGTATTCTTCTAGCATTATCTATTGCATTCGTATGTCAGATCGTGTTTTACAAAATAAAATTAATTCTAATAAAAATGAAACAAATTTATAATCTTTTCTTTTTTCTTTTTATTAGAATAATTTTGAATGAATTATTAAAAAATGATGCATCATGGCCATTTCAAACACCAGTTGATGCAAAACAACATCCTGAATATTATGAATGTATAAAAAATCCAATGGATTTTTCTACAATGAAAAAGAAGATGCGTAATCATCAATATACAAAACGTGATGAATTTTTTAATGATGTACAATTAATATTAAATAATTGTGAATATTATAATGAAGATGATAGTCCAGTTGGTGAAGCTGGTCATGTTTTACGAACATTTTTTGAAACACGATGGGCTAAACAATTTGGTTAAATTCTTTTTCTTTTCTTCTTTTTTTTGCTCCCCTGCTTATGTGCCATTGTACATACGACAAATTGTTTTGTTGAATCTCTTTCTTTGGCCAGAATGAAAAAAAAACAAAAAAAAAGAGGATTATTGTATTGTGTCTATGTTTCAGATAAAACTAGTTTATGCGTTTTTCTTTTTTTTTTTTCTTCGCGAGGTCAAGTAAAACCAATCAATGATGATGTTTCTTTTTTTCTCTTCTCATTTATTGTTGTTTTTTTTTTTTTTTCTTTTGTCACTACACAGTATTTTGTTGTATATCATCATCTATCTTGTCAGATCGTCAATGTTTTGTTCGTCTGTGTGTCTAGTTGAACAAAAAATAATAATAATAATAATAACTGTGTGGTGGACAAATGACGAAATGAAATATATAAATCATTTATTTATAATTGAAAAAAAAAAAATCTATTTTGCTTTTGTTTTTCGATGATAAGAAAGAGATAGGAATTTAATAGTTTTTTCTATTAATGTAAATTGAGAATATTTGATAAAAAAGAATGATATGAATAGACTATAACCATAAAACGACAAGGAAATGTTGCAATTCAAAGATAGAATAAGTACAAGCATAGTACTTCTACTTGAGTACGAGAAAAAAAGTACTTTTGTATTCAAGTATAGAAACAGTACTTTTACTTGAAGTATAAGTGAAGTAAATGTCATTATTAAGTTCGATTACTTCTAATAAAGTTTTAAAGACTCATGATATTATGCAATCAGAAAAGAAAAAATAAATGACAATAAGAATTTTGTAATGAAAATTTAAAACTTTGATTTACTGAGAAATTCACAAACAATCACTTGTAATAGTCATCTATTTTTATTGTGAGAATTTCTTTGAAATTATGATTAATATTTCTAAAATGATGATGTTTGTTTGATTTAATATTAAGGCTAAATGTACGTACTTCTTCATAATGATGATAATAAGAAAAACCTAACGAATGCAGATTGATAATTTGTAACTCGGGATAGATTATTGCTTCGTATTTTAAATGTACGTAAACTTTACTTTTTTTTGTACTGCAGTGTAATATAGAGTGTATCGAGCTAAAATGCTCATTTCGACAAGAGGCAGGTGAGTATTTTTTGAATAACTTTTGATAGAAACAAAATGTTTTCTAAAGTTTTTTCAATCAAATTTATTAAAAAGGGTGTCGGGAAAATGAGTTTTTTCGCAGCAATGCTTGAAAAATCAGTTGAGAATTTTCACCAGAATATCTTTAACTCCTGACTAATTAAATTTACAAAACTTGATGCTTGAGTAGTTTAATAGATCTTCCATTGGTGGTTCGGAAGCATACTTAATCATTGAAAATTCAGTGTAGTCACTTCAACGGTGTGCTGATTTTCAAAAAAGAACAAGTCGACAAAACTTGTAGCATAAGATTTTATGTGTCCTTTATCTTCTCTTTCTAAAGGTAAAAACTGTAACCACTATCTTGTTTCTATTAGAAGTTATTAAAAAAAATGTCCATCCACTTTTTTTTGACATGGGTCTTAGTAAAAAAGGATATCGATCGTTGGCGCTTGTTTCAGGAGACTTTTATAGTTTTCCCAGAGAAAAAACAGTGGACATGGAAAAATTCAGATTTAGTCCAGAGAAGTATTGGACAGAGCTAAATCTTTTATGCTAGTAGTTTTAGAGGTTTACTATACACCCTGAAAGTTTTATTTCTCTAACCCGCTCCTTTTCCGAATTATTAAACTTTCTTATCCGATGGGTGAATGGATACAAATAGTCTGCTCTTCAGATAGACGTACTCACCCACAAGATACGATGCAATGGAATGACACAACATCCTGTGACTAAAGTGAAAGAGAAGAAACATGAGCAAAAAGAAGACTCCATTGCATCAAAGATTTACGAAATGATTTTTCTTCTAAATAGAAAGTGCTATAGCTCAGGAAGGGAATGGATAGAACGCTGACACTTTCAGAGAATATAGTAGACCTTAAAGAAAACAACACAACAGATTTCAGTTTTCTGAGATTTTTCTTTTTTTCATCAAAGAACTTTTCGACAAAAATTTAGCGTGAAGTTTTGATAAATTGAATATTTCCTTTTGTTCAGAATTCGACAGTATTTCTTATTATATACTTATGAGCAAGAACAGCACAAACTGTGTAATAGTTTAAAAACATCACGATTTTAGGACACTAATCAAATTTCTTAACATCATATCTCTAAACAACGGATGCGAAAAATAAATCAAACTACGTTCAAAATTGATGCACTTGGTAGAGCTTGCTGATTTTTCATTGAAAGAGTTGTTTTTGTTACAAAATCTAGCAATATAAGGGAGTTTTATTACTGATTTTCATGGAAAATAGAAATGGCTTGTAAATGCATTATCTGCGTTCGTAGACATCTAATATTTACATGAAATCCGATGTTAAAAGAGTTTTTCATATTCTATTGATTAATATTTGATTGGTAATTTTTTTTAATACTAAGTCGCATGTCTAAAACATTCAAAACTCCTCAGGAGTAGAAATGCGTCTATTTCACACACTACCGATAGTACTCTTTTCAATGGTGGACTCAGACTTCATTACTCTTGAGTCCGAACTCTCCGCATGTGTGAGTGATTCATAGTTGGTCACGAAGAGCAGATATGCAAATTCAAGAAAACTAACGCTATGATGTTGTCCTTCTCTGTAAGCTCACTAAATAGTGAAAACTATTTGTCTTAGTTATCAGTTTCAGATAATGTAATAAACGTAAATTTCACCTCAATGGTTTCATGTTTAAACGTTTGTTCTTTTACAGCAAAGTCCTCAGAATATATTTCGTTCTCTCAATATCAATAATAGATGATTGAAAAATAAGTAAACAAGTTCTTGTTAAGAATGAAGACATACGTTCAGGAGAGATTTTGTTTGATCGCTCATATTGCACGTTTTTTTCGTACTACCATCAGTATACCGACAGGACAGTAGTCGCAAGAAATTCCACTACGAGGTAAAAAGTACATAAACTTCAATCCTAGCGTCAGATCTTTTTACTAAAAGCATAATTCAGTATATTTTGATTGGAAGTCCCAATCTAAGGTCGATAAGTCTTAATGCAAAGGATTTAAGGTGAAAATATTGACTTTCTCTTAGGACTCAAAAATGTTTTCTTGATACTTTTCCACTATTGAAATGCATTAACATTCATTTCTTCATAAATAAATACAGGTTCGCATGTCTATATAATGTCACCGATAAGGCATTTTAATCCGTTATAATCTTGAGGTGCGAAAAAGTCTTTATTATCTAGGACAATCTCAGCATAGGTTTCTTTACCCTTGATGACTGGAATCATGAAATCTTCAAGGAGAATTTGATTAGAGCAGGGTGCTCACTGAACTAATGATTAAAATTAGCCGAATATATCCGTTATTTTTCGATAATTCACATCGATTTTCATATGGGAATTACCAAAAGAATACTTAATAAATCAAACAAACTAAAATCATTTGACATGAAGTATTTGTTAATGATAGAGGCAGTACTAAGCTGTCGAATAAGAAGTATAACGTCGTGAGATTTGTTTTCTATGTTGTGAAATATAGATATAAAGAAACAATCTATGTTGACTTTCTAACTCCTTCGCAAGAAGATCAAACAAGTTCTTGTGATCAGAGTTCAACATGCTCTATTTGTAGTCAAACTATGATACTAACGAATTATACCAAAGTAGAATGATGGTGAGAAGATAGGAGATCGTTTAGATATCAAATTATCATCGGTTTTTATCAAGTATAAATCACATGAGTGGGTCATAACATCTCTTCATATGATTAAGTTGACATACTACTGATTCCGGAATAGCATGATCAACATTTTAAATATCAATTTTTCTATTCAGTAAATTCAATCAAATCGTTCATTTACTTGATCACTTGTTCTCTTATGGATCAAAAGAAAAAGAACTCTTTATGGAATATTTTATTTGATTATGATTACCAGAGATGTGCAGAACTGTCTTGCAATCCAGTACATGCTCTTATAACAAGCTTTGCCGATCTCTAATGATTATTGTCAATGTGTTATACTACAACTAATGTCTTTTCGTTTGACTTCAACCAATTTAAATAATTGAGCTTGATCTCTATCTTTTGTGCATGAACATAGATGTGATGAACTATGATTAACATAATAAAATCCAGTTGATAAACGTGTTTGTAAAATAAATGTTGAATTTGTTTGAATACATTTTGTTGTATTATCAGTTTGTATTATTTTTAAATATCGATTAACTTGTTCCATTCCATATTTCATTCGAAAATATTTTGCATCAGATAAATAAAATTCTGATTGATTACCATCAATTAATATAACATATTGTTCTGATTTTAAACACCGATGTCGACGTGGTGTGCCATTATTTGTTAAAATAAAAATTGAACCTGTATCATTTGTTGAATTTCCTATTTGAATATTACGATCAACAATCATTATAGGTAAATTTGTATCAGCTGTTACGAAATTTACATAAGTAAGAACACCTGATGGTTGTTCAGGCCATTGTTTTTTACTTAAATTAAAAAAACCCCAAATTGGATAATGATCTGAAAGTTCCATCGATGGAATATTACGTGTATTATAAAACATTCGATTTTTACCAAGTAAATGCCATTGTTCAGATGCCATAGCATCAATGATAAGATTAAACCATAAAGAATTATTTAATGTATGATCTTTATGTATTAATATATAATCTAATAATTGATTTTCTTGATGTTTTGCATTAGTCATTGCATTAAATGAACTATCCCAAGTACATCGAATACTTGATGGATATAAATATTGTTCTTTAACACGTAATATATCAATCATTGTTTCATATTGTTCAATATTATATTTATCAATATTAAAATCACCAAGAAAAAAGATAAGTTCATTTTTTGATATATTTCGTGCATCAATAAAACCTGTTATTTCATACATTTGTTTTTCACGTATTTTGTCTTCACTTGATACATAACAACCACGATGATCACTTGGTTGTAAATGTGTTCCAATAATATGAATAGGAATTTTATTTTTACCATATAATATTCGGGCATAAATAAAGCCACCACGAACAAATGTATGACCACTACATGAATGTCTATAAAAATATTGTGCAGTATGAATAATTGGCCATTTACTAAGAATTGTTAAACCACCACTAAGAAATTTTAATGAACTTCGACCTATTTGACGGTTCCACGTTTCATCCCAATAATCTTGATCGTCTTGATTACCTAATATTGGTGTACTATAAGGATATGTATCCGTAAGAGAATCAAGTAATATTTCACTTGGTTTTGGTTCAAATACTTCTTGTAAACAAAGTATGTCACTGGTACGAAGAAATTTTGCTTTTGCTAATAAACGAGCACGAGTTATTTGGTCACGTTCTAAAACAAGTAATCTTGGTACGAACATAACATTATAACTCATTAATGTTATTTGACTAAGTTCATCATCATTAGCTTTACATAGAATTAGAAGAGCAAGTAATAGAAATCGTTTCATGTTTGAAAATGAGATTTAACAAAACAATGTTCTTCTTTTTTTTTTTCTTATCAATTGACATTTACTATTCAATTCTTTCTTTCTGTTTCGTAGCGACATCGGCCGTTATTTGGTTTTTTGTTTTTTTATTTTGCATTTTACCTTTCTAATACAGATGGACAAAAAAAGAAGTAATTTTGTTTTTATTCTTTATTATTGTAATTTTCTTTTTTCATCAATGGTTGATTTAGAATTAAAAAACTCTCTTCCACTTAATAAATCATACCATAAAGTAATTGAAAATTTAAATCGATGGCGTACAAACATGACAACACAACTTAATGAAATGCATGATAATACTCTTCTTGATATGAAAAGAACACTTGATGATGTTCATCATTTTGCTTCATTTACGAATGCACTTTTAATTGAACAAGAAAGTCAACTTAAAAAAGCAAGATCTAATGAAGAAATTGATATTATTCAAGAACGAATCAATCAAATTCTAGCAGAGGTTCAATTTTTACAATGTAAATAGAAACGAAAAACGAAAAAATTCTAAAAAAATTTACGAATACATGTTTGTTTTTGTTTTTTCTTAGTATTATCATTTCATTTAAATTATGATGCAGTTAAATTCAATGGTAAACTTCCAATAAGTTATAATAATAATGAATTAAAATCAAATAGTTCATTAATAACAACATTTCCTTGTCTTCCTAATACATCTCAAACAATATCAGATTCATCTGAACTTTCAACAAATAATAAACAATCAATTTTATTATATGCAAAATATCGTTTTCTTATTTCACGAACTGATGCTATTGAATTAAAAAAGAATTTTCTTCCCAATTTTCATTTAACTTCTTATAATAATGAATTAATTAATGAATGTGTTTTAACATTTAATGTATCTAATCTTGATTCATTTCTTCATGCATTTACATTGTATTGGAATTTATTTTCAAATAATCATGAAATACGTATGCTTATATCACAATATAATGTATTATTTTTAACGGAAAAATTAAATGAAATACCTTGTTCACTTGTAAAACGTTTTCAATTAGATCAAATAAAGATTTTTTCAAATTCATGTCCAAAATCTGATGAAAAAATTTTATTAATTAATGGAAAACAACGTAATCTTATAAAAGAGTGTATTGATGAAATTTATTTTAATATTGAAGAAAATAATAAAAATCAAGATACGGAGCATAATATAAAATTATATAATCCAGCAAACTTATCAAAGGATGATATTAATGAAATAATCTTATCAAAGTTGGATTATGGAGGTTTTATATCAAATCAAACTAGATTAATGAGCACACATAATTCTCAAATGCATATAACTGAAGATGACGAGTATATTTAGAAATTATTTCATTTATGAAAGACTTATTTTTCTTTTCACTTTTAGAAGTGATGATGATGATTTATGGGATGAAAATGATGAATGGTGGAATTTTCAAAATACTCGAAATAATAATACAGATATTATTCAACGTGAAATGACTATTAGTAATAAATATGCCGGTGTTGTTATAGGTAAACTAATATAATTTTGATTTTTATCGAGAAAATTCTTTCTAGGTGTTAATGCATCATGTATTGATCGAATTAAACAGAAAACTGGAGCATATGTTTATATTAATGGTGAAACCAATGATCTTAAAAGAACAGTGAAAATTCACAAAAGTGTTTCAAATGATATATATATTTTGTTTTTGTTTAGGTAATTATGAAAGGTACTCATGAACAAGTCGATCGAGCTTATGCATGCATCGAAAATCTTATTGAAAGATATATAAATGATAAGTCATTCATGGAACAACAACATTTACATGGAAAACACAAAGAAAAATAAGATATATTACATTCTCATATATGTACATCTAGTCATTTTTTTTCTTTGTCGTTAATTAGTTAACATTAGTTGACATACATCGAGTTTTCTGTTTTGAAATAATAATAATAATAATAATAAGCCAATTTAATTCAATAAAAATAAAAAATACATTTTTAATAAAGCCCAGCGCAAATAAAATCCTTTTAAAAATCAGTTGTTCGCATCGATTCAAATGTGTTTTTAATTTAATATGTCATCAAACAATCAACTATTTTATGTGTAAGTAGATGCATAAATTATACTCAGTTTTTTCCTTCATACATATTTATTATACATAGTGTTGACCATCACGCTTCTTGATTTTGCATTGTATATGTACAAGAACGAAATTACGTAATGAATATGAATATGTATTTGCAATACCTGAATATCTTTCTTTTTTTTTCTATCATTTTGTTCGTCTTCATTGAAAAAGACACTTGAACATTTTTCAAGGAAGTAATGAATATTTACTAAATTGAATTATGCTTGCTACTGCTCATGATTCAAATCGTTATACAAAACCAAACACATATGACCATGAATGGATAGATAATGATAATAAACGAATTTCATGGATGAATTATTTTACAATTCAGACAATTCCAGAAGAAACTGATATTACTGATTGTCCAATACGCAATTATAGTGACAGTGACAGTTCGTCATTATCATCAACGGAAGATTCTTATGTTGTTTTTGAAGTTCAACGACCTCGTTCAGTCGTTGAAACAAAAACTATAATAGAAAAACAATTAAATTTTGCTCAAATAAACGATGATAAACATCATATTGAATATGATCAAATTACTCAATCACTTATAATTGAGGTAAAAATTAGTCGATATTTGATTACTGAAAAAAGAAAATGATTTATTTAGATACCTTCAAAAGAATATGCAATTGAACATCGAACAGAACCAATAGCTACTATGCAATTATCTAATAATATTCTTATTCATAAACCGAAAATATTTGATAAATCAATTTTGATGTCGCACAATATTGTAAAATTGAAGACAAATTATAATACTGTAGAACATCGTTCATTATCGTTTTCATCTAAAACGATAGGTGAACAACAATCAAGAAATAATTGTTCTTCAATAGAAAGTCTTGATTCAATTGAAAATGATTCACCAAAAAAGTCTCGAATAACTACGACATTTGCTCATTTATCATTACAACGTAAATCAAATCCTATTCAAATACAACAAGAAAAATCATTTATGGAAAAAACAACATTAACACGTACATTTGCATTCGATCATATATCTACGGGAAAATGTGATCGAGTTAATAATGAAAAAATTATTAATGTTGAAACAAACCATAAAGATAAAACGATTCTTCCATTTTATTTGGATAATAAATCAAATACTAATAATAAGTCTTCAATATCAAATGATGTTACAAATACATCTCCATTACTTCGTTTACTAAAAAACAGTTCTCGAATTGTAAGATCCGAATATTACTTACCCGAGAACAGCATTAAACCTACTGATCATTCATTACTTCAAGGGAAATATCTTGACGAAAGACGTACATTAACAGAGCACAATGCTCGAGAATCATTAGAACAATGTCAATTTTTATCAGCTTCAATTTCTTCTCGAGCAAGTTTATCAAAAACATTCCCACCAGATGATATGTCAACAAATTCATCGCTTCGAAAACGAATATTTAATCGTTTTCAACATTTTTTGAAACCTAATTCAACTGAAAAATCAAGGCCATGGCAACACAAGACGATATTTGAACTTTTTAATGACAGAAAAAGTAAAAATGATCGTCATTAAAAAATAATATTTATTTAA